ACCTAATTCTTGTCAAATAAAGGTTTGATACCACTGACTTGGGTCAATCAGCATGAAGGTAGTGGGCAAACACTTTTAATTATAGGTAAATGCTTCTTTCCTCTGCCTTGACCAGAAATACCCATATTCTAAGAATTAAAAACATTTTAATTTACTTTTGTGTCTTATTTTAAATCCTGATTGTAAAAGATGGCACTCTGTCCAATGTTACCATGTTATCGCTATCTAAGTGGAGTTTTGATTAGCGTTGTTTTATTGAGTAAACCCTCTTTGGGTTATCATTGACTTGACATGGTAAGAAAGAAAACCCAAACAGAATATTCCACATTTTGTCCTCCTCAACTTTGGTAATTACTATAATATTATTATAACATTATTTATTGTATCCATGGAAGAAACGTAAAAAGTTGCAAGTTCTGTTTTTACATGGTTAATCTACCACTGAAAGCTTTCTTTTAAGCATTCTGATACCAGTAGTGACTGTAACTAATCATGGTTCTGAAAAAAATCTGAGAAAATAACATGAAATAAGTGATAAAGGAAGTCTTTTTATATTCTGTCCTGTCTCTGCTTGTTTGGTATAATAGGCCGAAAATTCAACTATTCTGTTTATTGGCAGAAGTTATAGTGATACAGCTGGGATTCATATGTTTTGTATTAGCTGAGTTACTGCTATTTAACCTTCTTGGATTAACAAACTTTACTTGCTTTTAAGAACCACACCTTTCCATATACTGACATCATGATGTACTATTCGTTAATTGATGGGAGAATGTGTACTTAGGCGTACTGCTCAAAATTATGCAGGAGACGGTTTCGTATTTTGGGTAAATCTGCTTTAGCACTAGCACATTTCCAGAATATGTTGGAACTAAGACTTAGAAAAGGAAATCTATTTCTTAAATAAAATATATTTTTGTTTGATTTTTGTGATGCATAATATGCACATGCTTTCCAGAATTATAAAATAGTGTGCACCTCCTCCCTCTTTTCTGAATGTATCACGTCCAATTCACAGTGTTTAATTACATATTTAAATTTAATCATGTAATCATTTAATAGATGTAAGTACAAGTTTAAAGTTTAAAATGCACCTCCTTGCTTTTCTTGAAATGGGACCATTAAGCCTGTGAGCCTGAAAAGAAAGAGTTTATGAAAATGCATACATATCTGAGTAACACTGAAAGCAGAGTTCAGCAATGCCCAACGGGCCACTTCTACAATAGCAATCCACTTCTGAAATGTTGGTCTCTGCAGGGAAGATCACTATCATTATAATTAGAGCTACAGTACAATGGACTGTTCACAGTAGCTATTCCAAAAAGTTCTTTGAAGGTGAAAATGAGTGGTAGGCATTCTCAGGAATAGAAAATTGCTCTTTCAAGTATTAAAAAAAAAAAAAAAAATCCAAATAAAATAAATCTTAAATAACTAGATGGCTAAAATAAATTTAATTTTTTGCCATCCAGTGTATAATAAAATCACTGTATTTCCAGTTTGGATATTGCTAATGGGCACTAAACAAATATATGTAATATCTAAATTCCCAGAAGGTATAATATGGAATTATACTTGCAGATAAATATATTTTGTGAGTAAATGGAGAGAGAGAAAAATACAGCATCTCCACCTCCAGTGCTCTTGTTCTATTTTTGCTTTCAAAACTAACAATTCTTTTTTCTAATTATGAAGGCCTCATTTCTAAGAACTGTTTAGTACTTTTAGGTGGGTACATTGATACAGGTGTTGATATACATATATTGACACAAAAAATATTTGAAGATATTCTGATCAGTTTTTTATTGTTTTGTTTTTAAATACTTGTCCAGGCTGTCTTTAACCTTATAAAGACTAGATCAGGCAGTTGGCTAAAATTGAATACCTGATATCAAAGCACAGTCCTTGGTTTTCACACCAAAGCCAGCAGGCATTGCTGTATAGATAGCTTTTTTTAATACAATTTTACTGCTTCTCACAGGATCCTATCCTGGAACTTTACATACGATGCAGAACTTTCTGCGGTCTGTTAAAAGTGTAAACTTAAAACTACAGCTGCAAGAATCCTAGAAATTGAGTGATAAGTTTTCTCTGTGGAAGACTGCAATGCTACTGCCAAGAGCATTGAGGTTATGACAAAAAGATTATGATGCTGTTGCTTTTTCTTTTAAATAACAGTGAAGATCTGGAAAAGAGGTCGTACAACTTAGCTCTGTGAGTAATCGGAAATATAGAAGAACATAAAGAGAAGGACAGGTAGTAATTATTTAAGAGAAAAAGTACCTCGGACCCTGAATTGGAATTTTACTGTGTTATCTGGAACACAAATAACAGATAGCCCATCTGATATGATAATGAAAATTACAACATTTCAGTACAAGGACAGAGTTTCAAAATGTATTTCTAATTCATGTAAGAGACTTCAGCCTCTTTATTGTCTTGAGTTTTGACATCTGCTATATTTTAATGACTCAGAATCACAGAATGGTTGAGGTAGGAAGGGACCTATGGAGATCACCTGGTTCAACCCCTCTGCTCAAGTAGAGTCACCTACAGCTGGTTGCCCAGGACCATGTCCATATGGCTTTTAAGCATCTCCAAGGAGTGAGACTCCACAACCACTCTGGTCTATCTGTGGCAGTGCTCAGTCATCCTCACAGTTAAAAAAGTGTTTCCTGGTGTTTAGAAGGAACGTCCTGTGTTCCAGTTTGTGCCTTTTGCCTCTGGTCCACTGAAAAGAGCCTGGCTCTGTCCTCTTTGCACCCTCCCTTCAAGTATTTATACACGCTGATGAGATACCTCCTTGAGCCTTCTGTTCTCCAGGCTGAGCAGTCCCAGCTCTCGCAGCCTTTCATCATAGGAGAGAGGCTCCAGTTTCTCAATCATTTCTGTGGCCCTTCACTGGACTCTCTCCAGTAGCTCCTATCTGTCAAACTTGGCAAGTTAAAGGATATAAAAAAGATCTGCTTCAAATTTGCTCTCCACACTTTCGATGTGATAGTGGAACATAATAGTACAAATCAAAGGTAAATAGAAATATTCAAGCAGATGTAAATGCAGTAACACTAGTTTTTCTTCACTTTGAAATTGGGAAATTAACAACTAAACATTCTTTCCTCTGAATAATAGCCATGATCTGACCTCTCCACTTTTTTATATTCCTCCACTTACCAGCAACTACATGATACTATAATCCACAGAAACTATCTTTAATGTTACGTGTCTTTTTTTTTAATTTTGTATTCTTTATTTCTTAGAATTTAATACTTTGTTTGGTGTAAGTGGTCTGAAGGCTTAGATTGGGTGTAATAAAGTTGATACGCGTAATAGCGTGTTGTAAACACTTTGCTGCCTACGTTTGATGTGTGTAGAGGAAATATCATAATTATTTGAGAAAAGTATTCCTGAGTAATACAATTCCATTGGTTGCACTAAGCTAGCAAGTTCTCTACTCTTTATTATTATATTGCAGTTAGGATATCAAACAATTGTATGTATGTACAATTTCATTAGTGATTTTAACATACTCTGTCAGACATTTATCTCCCAATTTAAACTTATGGCTGCATGGACCATTTCTTAGGAATTAGAGTCTTTAGATTTTAACCAAAGATTTTCATTTAACTTCTTTTTATAATTTAATATGGTTCATGTTTTTTAAAAAATTACTGTCAGAGAAATACTCAATGTTTTATTTCTTTTCTCATAAAATGTTGCTGATTCAATATGGACTTTAAAATAGATTGAAACAGATGAGCTATCAGAATTCATAAGTTGTTAAAAAAAATTTGTAACAAAAAAGAAGAGCATGCAAAGAGGACCAGCAAAGCTGGTGAAGGTTCTAGAGAACAAGTCTTATGAGGAGCAGCAGAGGGAACTGGAGTTGTTTAGCCTGGAGAGAAGGAGGCTCGGGAGACCCTATCGCGCTCTACAACTACCTGAAAGGAGGTTGTAGTGAGGTGTGTGTGGGTCTCTTTCCCAGTAACAAGTGATAGGACAAGACAAAACAGTCTCAGGTTGTGCCAGGAGAGGTTTAGATTGGATGTTAGGAAAAAATTCTTCATTGAAAGGGTTGCCAAGCGTTGGAACAGGCTGCCCAGGAAAGTGGTGGAGTCATCATCCCTGGAGATGTTTAAAAGACATGTAGATGTGGCACTTAGGAACATGGTTTAGTGGCGGTCTTAGTAGTGTTAGGTTAATAGTTGGACTCTTACGTCTTAAGGGTCTTCTCCAACCTAAATGATTCTATGAATTTAATTTTAAAAAGCAATTTGTAATTTAAGATAGTTTCATTAGTTGTAGTTAAACTTTTGATACTTTTTCACTTTCCACATAAAAGTAATGATGTTTGTCAAAGCTAGAAACATTGCTTAAGTCCTTACTAAAATGGATATAAAGTCAATCTGCTGATTTTTTTCTAGAGATATTGTCTGTATTAAAAAAGCTATTACTGTATAAAAAAAAGTTAGCACAGTGAAATCCTAGGTTTGGTCCGAGAAATGAGCATGGTGTCATGACATACGCAACCAAGCAAAATGGTAGCTTTGACAGCATTTGAACTTCTGTGGATGTCTCAGTTCTCAGAAAATTTACTTATTAGGGGAAGTTCATGTATTTGTGACTCCCTCTAGTGGATAGCTTTCTAAACCATACACTGGGAAATGTTCTCCATATTAAAATCATCCGACATCATTAAAAATTGAGAGGTCTTTGTTTTCATGGTGAAGATCTGATTCCATTCTCATGGATGGTCAGAGTGCGTTTGTGTGCATCTCCACTCATTACAATTAATTTTGCAATATATTTTTTAAAGGTTTTTTTGTAATGTGGTTGCTGATAATCATATCTATTAATGTACAACTTATGTGTATACATTAGCAGATGGAACATCCTTTTTTTTCTGTGCTATTGATCCTCTTCTATTTCCCAGACTTTCATTTACATGACTGTATATTCCTGAAATGTTTACAGTTTGCCTTAATTCTTATTTAATTCTATTTCAGGTACCACCAAAGTAAACCTTGTGAAGATCCCATCAACTGCTTCCAGTCCTCGGGACACTGCTTTAGCAGCTGTTATATGCAGCGCACTTGCGACGGTGCTCTTAGCTCTTCTTATTCTTTGTGTTATCTATTGTAAGAGACAGTTTATGGAGAAGAAACCAAGCTGTAAGTTTCCGGTTATCACTGTTTCTTTGTAGTATTCATATACCAGCGTTAGTTTGGCAAATCTCTCTGTAGGTAGGTAAATGAAATTTCTACAGCATTCAAGCAAGTTTAGCATTGAAATGAACAAGCTAGCAGAAGTCCAAGACTATATATCCATACATGTTTTCTAGCTCAGTGTGGATGTTCCAGCTTCTACCGAGAAAATGCTGTGCAGGTATCCAGAAATAATCCAATTGCATTAGTTCTGTGCCGTACTCTGTTAAGTGCTGCACAAATGTATGTGGATCATTTGGGATCCAATCTGCGATGTCATTATAAAGTTGCAGTGCCAGTGTGGAAATACAAACTCGGTGGATCTGTGCATCACATGCAATTGTGAAACAACTTAGCTCATTGAGATAATTAATGTGGCTGGTGAAGGTAGCAGATTTGTCATTAACCATATATTGGTTTTATAGGCATATTCAAGATGAATTAAATGTCTAAATCAGTTAGATTTGTAAATTTAAAAAAAAAATCTGTAACAGCTCATTAGAACACTCACAAATCTATGGGGCCTGATGGGATCCACCCAAGAGTATTGAGGGAGTTGGCAGAGGAGCTTGTCAAGGTACTCTCCATCATTTATCAGCAGTCCTAGTTAACAGGGGAGGTCCCAGAAGACTGGAGGCTTGCCAATGTGAAACAATTCTGTCTACAAGAAAGGCTGGAAGGAGGATCCTGGGAACTACAGGCCTGTCAGCCTGACCTC